GGTCCATCAAAGTCATTGGCACTACCCCTCTTCCACAGCTTAACAGGGTGTGACACAACTTCCCAGTTTCTTGGATGTGGCAAGAAGACAGCTTGGGCAGCCTGGAGAAGCATACCAGACCTCACCAACACACTAGTTGCTCTCACAAACACCCCTGACCTCTTCAGTCTTGAGTCTGTGCATATGCAGAACATTGAACGATTTGTCGTGCTCATGTACAGCAAGGGGTGTGGTGCAGCTGGTGTCAATGAGGCCAGACATTGCCTCTTCACCACTGGAAGTAGATCCCTGGAAAACCTCCCACCTACCCAAGCTGCACTGTTCCAGCATGTCAAGCGAGCGCTACTGCAGGCAAGTTTCTACTGGAATCAGACAACCTCGGTCCAGCAGGAAATTCCTGACTTCAGTGAGTGGGGCTGGCACAAAGATGGCACTGGCACATGGCAACCACTGTGGACCACTCTTAGTGATGCATCAGCAGCATGTGACCTTCTTGTGCGCTGTGGCTGCCTCAAGGGATGCATGGGAAAGTGCAAATGCCACTGTATCGGTGTCCGATGCACAATCCTCTGCAAATGCGAAGGTGGGTGCCTTAATAATGAAGATGACAGCCAGTAACTCCACACCTTGCAAGGGATGGAGACACAAAGAATGTGAAAGACAACATTGTGATCTAACTTTTTGATTTTAGCAAGTTTTACGGAGTAACTATTTTGATTACATTGTCCCCTACTGTTGTTTACTGTTGTTGAAGTTGGACTTGTATTAGTTTGTTGTTTATAATAAACAATCTACTGTTTTGAGTTGTGAAACATTGATATATATATACAACTACAACTTATAATGGAAAAAAATAACTTTTTGGGGGTAGCATCTGGCATGGCGCACCAGAAATACCGGATTTTACCCCAATATTACCTTTATGTACTAACTTTGATGAGTAAACTTGACCTTGAGGGGTAATCTTGACCTCAACTCATTAAAATAACACCAGAATCAGATTCTACGACCCAGAAACCCCCTAAAAAGTGGTATTATTTATGATTCTATGACTTTCCGTTTTTTTCGGGTGGCAGCCATATTGGATTGCGCAATATGGCAGTACCATGGGGCGCCAATCTTGGCACCCATCTTAAAATGATTAAGTACGGTGTGGACAACATCTGTACCAAATTTGGCGAATTTGCGAGAATCTGAACCAAAAAATCCCCTAGGCCCCCGACTAAACAGCATTATTCTGTTTTTATCATCAACAAATACATCTCATGATTTTATTGTTGTAGTTTGTCAAAGTTTAGCAAGTGTGTTACTTTTTAAAATACTAAGAATAAAAGTAGTACTGCATAATACCAAAAAAGACTGTGTATTTAAATGTAAACAAATAAATGTTAAATATGCAATACATGTAGTGTAGTAAAAACACAAAATAGAAATGAGTGAAGTACAAGTAAGTCAAAAAAGTACCTAAGTACAATACTTGAGTAAACAGTTACTTTCCACCACAGTAAAATAGTGTGCTCCCTCTTTACAGATTTCTCTAAGTATCAAATTTTACTTACCCTGTTTGTGTTACAGTTTTGTTTAATATAAATATCAGTTAATGAGACCGGGTTATTACAGCATCTCGCACAACACCATCCCACTGGGACAGTAGCAGTGACTGTCACTGGAAGCCATCGGCAAATTAATCACAGATATCACTTTCAACAATGACAGGGCAGTCCCTGCTGTTGTCTCCCTGTCCAGGAGCATAAAGGCATCGTGGTGGAGCAGCCGTCCATCCTGAGCTCACTGCGGACTCCGATGGCCACGGCCACCATAGTGCCCCCCCCAATGGACAGACTGGTAGGACTGGGAACCTTCGGCCCCGTCAGCCCCACGGAGGAGAGGTCACTTGACGCTGTGTCCAGCTCCTCGGAGGCCACTGAGATCGGTCAGTCAGCACTTAGGAAAAAAATCATACCAAGTTCCCTATAGTGTTTACTTCCTGTCTGTTTTCTTCTCCTGTTCCCATTAGTGTTTACTTCCTGTCTTTCTTCTTCTGCTGATTTCTCTGTCCTCCAGCTCCCTGTGTCTTTGACCTATTTCCTTCTTTTGTGCTGTTTTCTTAGTATCTTGTTTTCTTTAAGGCGAGACACGGCAGGCAAAAACATCGTTTTTCAAGCACTGGTCAATTTTGAGATTTTGTGCTATTTTGATTCTATAACATGTTTTCTTTCAGGCTTTTGGAAGGAAAACGTACAAAATACACATTTAAGTGTTTATTTGACTATAGTTTGTCTNATTGATATTTTAGGGCTGTTGACAGTATTTTCTGATTTATGGAGTGATAAAAAGAGATATCCAAAATCCCTTCTGTAAAAGCCTTAGATACTAATATGACTACAAAATAAAACAAGAATTTTGAACCTGGCTTTATCCAAAGTTCAGATTTCGATTCCTGAAATGTGTTAAAATATGCACATATTTGATGAGATAATGGCTAATTTGCATATTTAAACATGCTATTTCAGAAAACTTGTAATACAAAAGACAATTGCCTTATTGTAA